CACCCCCCACCACTCCAGCAACCCTCAGTTTGTTTGCTGAGATCAAGAATTACTCATATCAGTGAGGTCATGTGATACATGTCTTTCTCTGATTGACTTATTTCACTCAGCATAAAACCCTCCAGTTCCATCCATGTCGTTGCAAATGGCAAGATTTCGTTCCTTTTGATGGCTATCAGCTGCCTTTTTTGTATGACAAAATGAGAAGGTGCCTGAGAGGAACTAATTCTGAGGAAAGAGAGCATTAAGAACTCAACACTAGTGCAATAACAATGCCCATAGTCAGAGTTGCTGGGAGTGAGGGTAGAGAAAGTAGAAGGTAAATGTAATTTACCTTTCTCTGATTGACTTTCTCTGATTGACTTATTTTGCTCAGCATAACACCCTCTAGTTCCATCCATGTTGTTGCAAATGGCAAGATTTTTCATTCCTTTTGATGGCTGCATAATATTCCATTGTGTGTGTGTGTGTGTGTGTGTGTGTGTGTGTGTGTGTGTGTGTGTGTATAAATATATCACATCTTCTTTATCCATTCACCTGTAAGTGGACATCTGGGCTCTTTCCATAGTTTGGCTATTGTGGACATTGTTGCTATAAACATTGGGGTGCAGGTGCCCCTTTGGATCCCTACATTTGTATCTTTGGGGTAAATACCCAGTAGTGCAATTGCTGGATCGTATGGTAGCTCTATTTTCAACTTTTTGAAGACCCTCCAAAAAATATGGAATGCTTCATGAATTTGCCTGTCATCCTTGCACAGGGGCCATGTTAATCTTCTCTGTATTGTTCCAATTTTAGTATATGTGCTGCTGAAGCAAGCACTTCGTTGGCTATTTTGCTGCTTTTGCATTTTCTATATAAATGCTTGTGAGTTTACACACACACACACACACACACACACACACACACCCCTGCCTGTTGGGATTTTGATCAAACTGAATTGACTTTGTAGATCAATAAGGAGAATTTTGACATTTGAATAATATTGAGTCTTCTGGTCCATGGACATGGTACATTTCTCCTTTTACTTAGGTCTTCTTTAACTAGTTTCAGTAATACTTTGTGGTTTCAATGCCTTGCACATCTTTTGTTAGGTTTATTTCTAGGGCGCCTGGGTGGCTCAGTTGGTTAAGCGACTGCCTTCGGCTCAGGTCATGATCCTGGAGTCCCGGGATCGAGTCCCACATCGGGCTCCCTGCTCAGCGGGGAGTCTGCTTCTCCCTCTGACCCAACCCCCTCTCATGCTCTCTCTCTCTCTCTCATTCTCTCTCTCAAATAAATAAAATCTTTAAAAAAAAAGATTTATTTCTAGACATTTGGGTTTTCATGTTATTGTAAATAGGGTTTTTCAGATTTTATTTTTCAGTTGGTTTTGCTAGAATGTAGAAATATAATTTGTTTTCATCATCCAGTAACCACGCCCAATTTATATGTTTATTCTAATTGTGATTCTTTAGAATTTCCCATGTATATGATTATTCTGATTTTCATTTCTGCCACTATCATGAATATGTTTCTTCTTCAATTATTTCTTCCACAGTAGATCTCTACTTTTTTATGCTTAGTAAGAAAGCTGATCATTTCCTGGTTGACATACATTTCTTTTGATGGTTAGACAAACAAACAAAAAGATTCCACTGTGGTTCACTGAAGTTATTGGGCACTTTGTTGCCATATCTAATTGAATCCAGAATATAACAATTTAGTGAGAAAAGCAAAGAGTGACTCAGACAAGAATTTGTTTAATTCAACCATAAACTTCCCATATACATCAAAGCTCAAGGTATCTCTTTTCTGGCTTGGGTTTCCTGAGTCCCATGTTATCTTTCTTAAAGTATTTCCCATGAAGTTTATCCTTAGTCACAGATTTATCTGCCAATTCTAAGAAAAAATTATATTTTCTCACTCCATTCTCTCCTCTTCCAGCAGCACAATACGTATTAACTACTTCCTCTAATATGTGTTAATATTAACAAGACGTTCAACTTTTCCAGTCCTTTCCACAGTGACATAATCCTTTATGGCCACTAATTATTTTCTTATTAAGGCCAAAGGATTTGATTAACTCTAGTCCCTTCAGATAATAATTACATTCTGATAGCTTGATAGCCTTGTATGTAAACTATTTTGAATGTCAAGTTAGAGGGAATCTTTTGCATCATGTTATCAAGAAAATCCAGATGACATCATTTTCACAGTAGACTTTGGCTTGGTTGTGGTTTAAAAATTACTCTTGTGAAGAATTGCAAAACGTATATATACATATATTCCTCTAGTTGGAACACCAGCTTGGTAATTCTAGGATTATCCTGCCACTGAGCTAGGATTAACATCAAGGACCTTACTTGTTCTGTTCCTTGTGTAAAGTTAGTGTTTAGTAAATACTTTTTGATTCATTTGAAGAAAGATGTCATTCCAGAACCAGTCAAGTGTTCTTCATAAATTCAAGGGGATCCTCTTTTCTACTATGTCTTCAGAAGAACTTTTAAATTCCCTGGATTTTTTCAATGCAAGAGAAGATGATGTGTTTCTGGTGTCCTATCCAAAATCTGGTAAATTTTATTTTAATGTATTTTTAAATGTATAAGTACATTTTAAAATGTGTGAAATATAAGAAATAAGAAGTATAATATTCTACTATATAGAAATATAATAATAATATAATAATGTAATATACTACTCTAGAGAAATATAATAACAATTTTTACAAAACATTTATTTTTCAGAATTTATCCATAGGAAATTTAAGTATCATAAATGCTTATTTTAATGAAAAAGTTTGACATTAGAAAGCTGAAAACTGTGTTTCGAGAAAATTCAACTGGAGGAATTAGTCCAGTCTTTACTCCAGTCTTGTTTCTCTTTTATTCATTAAAGTATACGGATGTTGATATACATAAAAAGCATAATATCTGTAACATTATAAAGTTCTCTTCATACTTGTGCCAGGCATGGCAATAAGCAATATTTGTTCAATTCATACTTAATGATTGATTTATAAATGAAAACTTCTTTTTTCCCGGGCTAATAAAAAAAACATAAGTATTTTTAGTGTTCAATTTTTTAAATATTTTATTTATTTATTTGAGAGCCAGAGATAGAGCAGGAGCAGGGGGGAAGGAGCAGAGGGAGAGGGAGAAGCAGACTCCCCACTGATGCAGGGCTCTATCCCAGGACCCTGAGATCATGACCTGACCTGAGCCGAAGGCACACTCTTAACTGACTGAGACACTCAGGTGCCCCTGTAGTGTTCAATTTTATGCCTTCTTATGCAAAATTTATTTCCACATATAGTTATACACACATGAAAGGACCATTATGAATAATGTCATTCTGGGGATAATCTAAATTAATTATAGATTCTTTTTAATTTTGAGAGGTGGCCAGGATATATAATATCCAATTGCCTGCTGTGATTTCCAGAAGAGTGGACATGTGTGAATGGGCATATGCTTGCTAGCATGATTCAGTAACTAAGAGCTTAGCCCCTTCAAATCGTGTTTACATTTTAGTCCCTTTATCTGATTGTGAGTCAGGCCCAAAGGCCCTCCCCATTAGAAGACACAGAGTTCATATAGATCTTCCAGGGTGTTTTTTGAGAATAAATATAAATCACATATGTAATTCTTTTATTGGAAAATGGTGTTGCAAATGGAAATTAAATGATTCTTTCCAGAATACCTCAGTATTCTCTCTATGTAGGAGGTTGCTCTGCGAATAAATATACCTTACCCTAAACTGATATGTTAGTTTAGAAAGTAATTTATGATACTTTTAAGGTTCTTTGAGCAGGTGGCTAGTTTATACCATATATAAACAACCATATATAAAGCTTCCACTGCACATATTGATGCCTATAAATTGATATCACCAGCCAGCTCTGGAGGTCCCCTGAATACAGCCCAGAACTGTATTCTCCCTTCTTCACCAGAATAAATCAATACATCTTGTGAACATAATAGAAATGTCATTACAATATTAGTCATGTTTATATGAATATTATAAGTAGTTGACTTATGAGCATTATAATTTAAAATAGTCTTAAATTTAAAACATCATGCAAATGAGAGCACTGTTTAAATATTTATTCAGTATAAATTAGCGAATATTGTTAACAAATTTCGAATTCGAATTACAAATGAGATCAATGGAAAGGAAATAGGCCTGATTAAAACTTTTTAGGAACATTGCTTTCAAATCAGCAAAGCATCCTCCCCATCCAAACTTCTACTTCCCAGTTCCAGTTTACTATTGTCTACAACACTGGAGCATACCCACATTTGCTTTATGTATTCCTTCTAGACTTCATGGTAGTGTAGGATTGTATCTTTACGCTGTTTGAATATAGCATTTGTTCATTGTTCAAGTGCTTTGTTTGCACGCCTACTCTATGTTTGCCCACAAATAAAAATAAGATCCAGTGGCTATCTTCCAGGGGGAAATGGGGAGGTACACATAAATACAAGCAATAGCAACTAGACTCTGGTGTGCGCTACTTGGGAGGGAAAGAAAGGGTAAACAATTATGCCAGGGGAGTGGGGACTCAGAAGACAATTTATAAAAGAGCAAGATGCATGAGCTTGCAGGACCGGTGGGAACTGTGTATGGAAAGATCTGTGTATTTGTGAATTGGAGAAGGTGTTAGAGGTGAGTGTAGCGCAGAAGAGTATTTCAAGCTGAGGAAACAGCATAGACAGTTCTCAGTCTCTTCACACTCTTTAAAGTGTGATTCTTCCTGTAAAATGAATTAACGTCTCTAGCGTTTCAACGAGTGTCTCAGGTTTCAATGGGTGTCAAGAGGTAATAATAACTATAACAAAATTAATGCACTCCTTGCTATTATAACCTCATGCTAATTTTCTATATTTATTTCATCAAGAATTTCATTTAATTTAAAAAATGAATTTTGTTTTATTTTTATGTGAAGGTACTCACTGGATTGCAGAGGTCATTGGGAACATTCCGAATGCTCGAATTAGTTTAACATCTCCTATCGAGTTGGGAGACATTTCTAAATTTGACGAGCTAAAAATGAACTGTAAGAGAAGAGTTATTCCCACGCATTTGAGCTACAACATGCTACCAGTGAATATCAAACAAAAACAATGCAAGGTGAGTTCAGTGGTTAAGGGCAAAGGCTTGGGAGGACCAGAAACCGGGCTTGAGTTCTTGCTCTGCCACTCTCAAGCTCTGTGATCTTGAAAAATTGCTGATGCTCTCTGAGCCTTGGTTTCCTCATTTGATACAGAAACAACAAGATCCATCAAATACAGTGTGGCAAAGATTAAGCTATGTTTTATAAACACATTACAACAAAGACAAGAATAGATGTTTTTCCTTTCATCGGCAAAGAAACTGAAGCTCAGAAAGGGTTAGGGGGGTTCTTAAAACCACCACAGTAAAGACAGAGCCTTAAGGTACAATCCTAAAGGGAAGTGAGACTCTCTGGTTGCACCTGGTTTCCCCAGATGATGACCTTTTTTCTGTTTCCCCCTGCCTAGCCCTCAGAGCTTAGGGGCTACTCGAACATTCCCTGCTCCAGCAGGCCTGTCAGATAGTCAATTCTTCTTGCCATCTTTCCCTGCCGGCCCTCAACCCTACTCAGCCTCCTATGTTTTCTTCCTAATTTTGTCTTCCCGCCTTTTTTTCTGCTTCCAAACTCTCTTACATGAAATGTCTGCTCATTTCACGATATTTAGTTAACATTTAATTTTTTTTCTCAGGGTACTATTCTGCCTTCTCTTCATATCTTTCAACCATCCCCTAATATTTCTTAGAATATTGTACGTGTGTGTTTTTGAATATCATTGACATACAACATT